AAAAAAAAAACAAACAAAAATGGGCATCTGAAATGAACAGACATTTTTCAGACAAGGAAGTAAAAGCAGCAAGTAAATATATGAAAAAATGTTCCACACACTGGTCATTTGAGAGATGCAGATGAAAACAACACTGAGATTCCACCTGACCCCCACAAAGAATGGCTGTTACCAAGAAATCGACCAATAACAAATGTTGGCGGAGTTGTGGGGAGAAAGGAACCCTTCTTCATTGTTGGTGGGAGTGCAGACTGGTGCAACCACTGTGAAAATCAATATGGAGATACCTCAAAGGACTAGGATTAGAGGTTCCATTTGACTCAGCTACTCCTCTGCTGGGTGTCTTTCCAAAATAACTAAAAGAATCATACCACCATGATATATGTGCACCAATGTTTATAAGTGGCACAGTTTGTGATAACTAAAACTTGGAAAGAACCCCAATGCCCATCAACTGGAGACTGGATAAAGATGTGGTTTTTCTATAAAATGGAGTACTACTCAGCCATAAAGAATGAGAAACTAGAGTCATTCATAGGAAAATGGATGCATATTGAGGCCATACTCAAGTGAAATAAATAAGATGTGTAAATAATAAATAGTTTCTCTGGTGTGAAAAACAAAGTGTAAATAAGGTTCAAATTGTATAACTGATAATGTGAAATAGGAAGAAAAGGGCTAAAGGTGTAGGGGAAGTGGGAAGGGTAGGGGAAAGTAAATAAAGGAAAAGAAAAAATAGGAAAGAAAAAATGTAAACAGAGTCTTTGTAAATAGGGGAGGGTGGAAGGGGTGAAGGGAGGGCATGGGTATGGGGTAAAAATGAGAACCAAGATCTGTCATGTAAAGGTACAAGATCCCAGTGAATGTAATTGTACTGTGTACTTAAAAAAGTACCAATAAAGTAAAAAAAAGAATGTTACCAGGGGACTGGGGGATTTAGCTCAATGGTGCCACCACCTGCCTGGCAAGTGCAAGATCCTGAGTTCAATCCCTCATACAAAAAAAAAAAAAAAGAGAATAAGTTACCAGGTTATAACAGACATGTATATTTTTCTTTAATATGAGTATTGAGGCAGTACTCTGAAAAATAAGTACCTGTTATTAAGTCAGTTTACAGGAATTAACATCATTCTGTAGGTATCCTCATCTTGGAATCTGACCTTCATTTTGTGCATGGACAGAATAGGTGACCTTTTTTATTTTTTGGTAATGGCTCTTTTTCTCTTATAGGTGTGTGAACCTGTAGAATTAAATCCTCCAAAATGATCTGGCATGTTTTAATTGTAGGGATTCTGCTTCCCCAAACTTTGGCCCATCCAGGCTTTTTTACTTCAATTGGTAAGTCTTAACTACTTTTTTGTGTTATTTTGCATTCAAAAATTTTATTTTTAATTGTTTTTGAATAAATACAAATAAATTGCATTCCCAAAGATGAAAGCATTTGGCTTACCCCCTGTCCTAAAAGGTCCTCTCTGTTATTTTTAATACAGTTGTTTTGCTTTAAATAATTTATTATAAAAATCATACATCTTTGGTCAGAAACTTAAGAAAATGTAGAAAAGCTTATCAAAGACAATTACTATTAAGTGTGTCCACCAAATTGTGCCTATATTTGTACTTCAGTCATTTTCAATGCACAGATACACAAACTACGTATTATTTTCTATCCTGATTTTACATGTAAGAATCTACTGTGAACATTCTTTTTGCTGCACTGTAATTTTTTTTTTTTTTTTTTTTTTTTTTTTTTTTGTACCAGTGATCAAACTCAGGACCTTGTGTTTGTGAGGCAGGCTGCAGAACCACTGAGCTTAATTCCAGGCCCCAACACTGTAATTTTTTAAATTCCTTAAAAGTATTATAAAAATAACATATCAGAGCTGTGGGTTTGACTCGTTAGTACAGCACAAAGCCCTGGGTACAAGTCCTAGCACTGTGGGAAAATTGGTTAAAACCAAAAGTACAGTACATAGAATATAAGACCTCCTTATATCCTTTACTTCTAGAATACTTTTCATAGTTTGATATTTATTATTTTATATTTTCTTCTCTTTGTATTTCATTGTCTTAAGTGAGATGTTTTCTTCATTCTCGACCGTTTTGACCCTTGGGGAATTATAGAGTTAAAGCATAAGTATTATGTATTTATGACACTTGGTTTCAGGATATAAAATGACGAGCCTCTGATTCCTTATAAAGAATTAAGTATAAATCATTTGTATTTTTTTAGTATGATTTTGTTTATTGAATAAAAATTTAATTAGCCCTGCAAACAAAACAAAAGGTGTAGAGGGAGGTGGTGAAGAAGAAACACTGATCCTTGGAAAGTAGTGTTGTGTTGTAATTCTAATTTGTCAGCACAGCCCAAGTTTGCAAAATTAAGTAGCTTGAAAATTAGACCCAGAGCACATAATTAGAACAGGTTTTGGCTTTGTTTTAATATAGCTAATGAAAAATAAAGATAATTTGCTCCAACATATATAATTCCTGCCAGTTAATCCTCATAGGATGAAGCATTCTCAGTTATTCTTAGCTGATTCTAGAATATGTGTATGGATGAATATTTCATAACCTTCTTTCCCTTTTCCCCCTCATAGGTCAGATGACTGATTTGATCCATACAGAGAAAGATCTGGTGACTTCTCTGAAAGATTATATTAAGGCAGAAGAGGACAAGTTAGAACAGATAAAAAAGTACGTAATATGTTTTACTTAGTAAGACTGAATCCATATGGGTGTTTTCTTTTTGAGCTAAGACCTGAGAATTCCTGTGTTTTGTTTAATAAATAGCTAAGTATTAAGGCTTTTTTCTTTAGAAACAGGATCTCACTATTTGACCAGTTCAGGCTGGTCATGAACTCATTACCTAGCTCAGGCTGGCCTTGAACTCAGAATGATCCCTCCTGCTTTCTTGCCTCAGCCTCCTGAGTGCTGGGATTACAGGTATGTGCCATCACACCTGACAAGGTTTTTGTTTTAAAATGTAGTTTCTAGATATTAAATGTAAAAATTGCATTAGGCCAGTTCAGTGGTGCATGTGTATAGCTCAGATACTCAGGAGGCTGAGGCAGGAGGATCATTTGAGCCCAGGACTTCTAAGCCATCTTGGGCAGCATAGTGAGACGTCACTTTAAACAAACATGTAAGTGAACTTGGGTTAGGCCAGTTTGAGTTTTATAATAATTATTTGGCCTTAAAGATCTGTGTGGAAATGATTTTTTAACTCTTACTAGAGAAATTAAATCCTAACTTTTACTAAGATAAGGATATTCCATTTACGAGAAACAAAACTAAACAAAAAAAATCTTATTGTGTTTTGATTCTGCCAAGTTATATTTTATGAAGATCTTACTCTTTAAAGGGCTTTTATAATTTTACTTTAGAATAAAGTCATATGTGTAATTTTAACTCAAAAGTCTCTAGTCTTTTTTTTTCCACAAGTACCTTTGTAAATTGTGTTTTTCCTTAATGAGTATCTGTACATTTTTATGTCATACATTTACAGATGGGCAGAGAAGTTAGATCGGCTAACTAGCACAGCAACAAAAGATCCAGAAGGATTTGTTGGGCATCCTGTAAATGCATTCAAGTTAATGAAACGTCTGAATACTGAGTGGAGTGAGTTGGAGAATCTGGTCCTTAAGGATATGTCAGATGGTAAGTCTGAGGAGACTAATGAGCCCCCCTGCCCCAAAAAGGTAAGGCAATATTGCTACTACCTACAGAAATGCCAAAGTTAGTGATAAATTCAGTTCCCAGAATATCACGTACTCAGTGTTGTGATTATTGTCTGGGTGTCTTTGGTTTGACTAGAGTTCATTTAGTTATGATCCTGAATTCTTTGATCGTAAAAAATAGTAATTTCTTCTACTGGTGACTAACACTGGTGATTTTGTTTTGAAATCTATAGAAGTGAATAGGTTATTTGATATATAGTTTTTTTTTTTCCTGAGGATAATCATTTTTATTTTAGGATTACCTTCAGACTTTAAAAATTTGTATGCTAGCTGGGTGTTGTGGCCCATACCTGTAATCTCAACACTCTGGAGACTGATGCAAGGAAGATGGAGAGTTCAGGGCCAGGCTGGGCTACATAGTGAGTTTAGGGATAGTCTAGACTACATAGAGAGACCCTGTATCAAAAAATAAAAAGAAAAAGGAAAAACAGTGTGTGTAAATCTTTATTTTCCATCAGTTTTTAAAATACTGGGTAAATTGGTGGCTCATGCCTGTAATACCAGCACTCTGGGAAGCTGAGTCAGGAGGATCATGAGCAATTTAGCAAGACCTTATCAAATTAAACATTTAAGAAAGGGCTGGGAATGTAGCTCAATGGTGGGGTGCCCCTGAATTTAATCCCCAGTACCACATACATGAAAATGGGTACGTCTTTATTTCTAATCAGTTTTTAAAATACCAAGAGTGATATTATAAAGAGAAGTAAGTGTTCTCTGTATTCTACCTAGTATTTTTGTTTTAGGGTTATTTTAGTCAATGCAGGCACTAAATTTTAAAAACTGAGGCTATAAATACCAATAATTAAGTCTAAGTGAAACAATAAAATTGTAGTTGGGAGTGTTGAGGTATTTTAGAAAGTATTAATAGAATAGAAAACAGTCTGGAGTTGAAGGAGGTAAAGGGATTAAGCTTAGTACATACTAGAAGCTGAAATATTTGTTACATCAGTGATGATAGAAGAAAAAAAGAGGGAGAGAGCTGAGCGAGCTGGTTGTGTAAATAAAATACTCCAAGAGTATTTCTCATTGTTTGCAAGCAGTATACTATAGTAGACTCCCTTACCCATTGTTTTGCATTCTGCAGTTCTGTTTACTCATGGTTCAAAAATATTAAATTGAAAATTCCAGAAATAAGTTTATTGTTAAATTGAGTGCCTTTCTTCTTAGTGCGATAAAATCTGGGGCTGTCCCACCTGGGATGTGAGTCATCTTTTTGTCCAGCATACCTGTGCTGTATACACACCCTGCCTTCAGTTACTTAGTAGCCTCTTGTTTATCAGATCATTTTCACTGTACTTTGTGATCAAGTAACCCTTATTTTACATAATAATGGCTTCAGAATACAAGAGTAGTGTTGCTGGCAATTCAGATGTGCCAAAGACAAGCCATAAAGTGTTTCCTTTAAGTGAAAAGGTGAAAATTCTCAATAGGGAAAGAAGAAGAAGAAGAAGGAAACAAAACAAAACAAAACAAACCAACCTGTGTGCTAAAGTTGAAAAAATTGTATGCTGAGGTTGCTAAGATATGTGGTAAGAATGAATCTTCAATCTGTGAAATTGAAAAGGAAAAAGAAATTTATGCTAGTTTTGCTATTGCACTTCAGACTACAAAAATTATGGTCATAATGCATGTTAAGTGCTTAGTTAAGACAGAAAGACATTAAATTTGTATATGTATATATAAGAAAAACATAGTATATATAGGATTCAGTAGTAGCCATGATTTCAGCAACCACTAGGGATGTGGGTAAGTGGGGACTCCTGTGTTTTGCATAAAACAGGGAACCTTGAAAAGTAATGGCAGGTAATTGTGAATACATATTCACTATGAGAAGGAAATGCCTGTGATTATTTTATGTACTGTATAATACTGTACTTTACCCTGAGAGTGTTTTTAAGGAAATATATAACCCTGTCCCTCTAGCTCTCCTACCTTTTCTACCCTCCCTCTTTCTGCCTTTCCCTACCTCCCTTCCTTTCTTCCTTTTCAAACCCTCTCTCTCCTTTCACCCCTCTCTCCATACACAAACACACATCTACACACACACATGCCCCATTTGTCCATTCATTCATTCTAACATAATGACCTGTGCAGTTCTTTTATAATATGAGCCTTGATATTTTCATGTTTTAATCTGTGGTAGTTGTCCCATTTTCTGTTTTAGAGAGGACTTAAGTAACTTGGATTTTTGTTTTCAAGCATAAGAAACATTACAGTCTTGTATAAAAAAGCCGGTAAAGTACATGTGGAAATTTTTACTGAGAGTTGATTTTATGCTTCATATGAACTTTAGTCCTTTTCTAGGTAGTTGTTTCTTCTGTACATTTCCATTAAAATAAAAATGCTCGATTTATTGCTGATCAAAGTACAAATAGTTGATCAAAAGTTAATGAGAGAAGAGGGAAGTCTCATACCTAATTTTTATTTATAATGATGACATTTACATCACTAAAATTTTAATCACTTTTTAAAAATTAAGTTATTGGTACATTTTAATGCAGTATAATACAGTTATATAATACAGGTATATAATACAGTTATATTCATCATTAGGATCTTGTACTTTTACATGACTTAGCTTGGTTCTTATTTTCCCCATTTCCCAGCCCTCCCTTCAGGCCCTCTACCCTTCCCAGTTTACAAAGACATTGTTTCTATGTTTTTCCTTTTCACATATTTTTTATTTTCCTTTTCCCCTACCCTTCCCACTTCTCTACTCTTTTAGATCTTTTCTTCCTATTACACAATATCAGTTATACGTTTTGATCCTTATTTACACTTTTAGTTTTTCACACCAGAGAAACTATTTGGTATATACATACGTGGACTTATTAATTTCACTTAAGAGCATGGCCTCAATGTATGTCCACCTAGCTATAAATATCTTTAGTTTTTTGTTCTTTATGGCTGAGTAGTACTCCATTTTATAAAAGCCCACATATAAAATCTCCAGTTGATGGGCAATTGGGCTGTTTCCAAATTTTAGCTGTTACAAACTATGCTGCTATGAATGTGGGTGAGCATATATTGCTGTGATTCTTTTATTTTCTTAAGGAGTTATTTAGTATCCATTTTCCTAGACATTATATATAGTTACCAGTAATTTGTTAGCTTGACTTCTGCTGTATTTTATATAAATCTTCCTTAAATTAACATTAGGTTTTACATATAGCTAATCTTGAATATTTAACACTGTATTTGCTATTTAAATGTATTTTAGTAAAATAGCTGTTGATCTTAAATATATAACAAACATTTTTCTCTGAAGAATTTCATCAAAATGTATATATTTCCCTATTTATATAATGTGCAGTACATGCAAGAAGAGAACTTTAAGAGCACAAGTTTTATTTACCATCTGTTATCTGAAAGTATAATTGGTTGTTTAAAATCCTATAAATAACTGCTAGTCATGCACGCCCATAATCCCAGCTTTTGGGAGGCAGAGGCTGAAGGATCTCTACAAGTTCAAGGCTAGCCAGGGCTAGTGAGTTTAAGACCAGCCTGAACTATATAGCAAGACCTTGTCTCAAAAAATCAAAAAGCGAATAAGCAAAAAAATAAAATCCCATAAATGTGTTCATCTCATAGTGGAGGCACTATTTGTTTTCTTGCTGAATTGTGTAAGACTCAGTCATTATGTTAGTTGATCTTTACCTACTAATATAATTTATACAGTGAACTCAGATTACTTAAAATTAGAAGCAGTTGGGAAAATCGAACAAGTTAGGTGTATGTTACATTCAGTGTATTTTAATTTTTTCTTTATTAACTTGTGAACCTTTGGTGGTATAGCTGAAAATGATAATATTTTGAGAAATCCTTACAAAGATTCAGTATTAGGTAGAAGTCTGAGGTTCTACAGTCCCTTTTTATCCACCCCCCTGCTTTTTTTTCTATTTCAAGGCTTTATCTCTAACCTGACCATTCAGAGACAATACTTCCCTAATGATGAAGATCAGGTTGGGGCAGCCAAAGCTTTGTTGCGTCTCCAGGACACCTACAATCTGGACACAGATACCATCTCAAAGGGTAATCTTCCGGGTAAGATGATTTTTCCAGCCTCTAAAATGCCTATTCAGTCCACTACAACAATGTAAAAAAGACTTAAAGATTTTTAAAGCTGTAGTTTTTTCATAGCTTTGGGATACAAAGGAATTCTCCCTTTCTGTAGGACTTAATAGTGATGGATGTGCTTCTGGCTTGTTACTGTCTGTGAAAGCTTACATTTATAGGGACTAACTTAAGCAATTTTTAGTGCATGAGAAAAGGGAACAACCATTTTTCCAGATTTTTTTCAGAATTATATTTTATTTCACATTGTTAGAAACCATGAAAAACATTTACATTGAAAAAATTATTGGTTTTTTGGTACCTGGAATCGAACTTGGGACCTTGTGAGGCAGATGGTGGAAACACTGAGCTACATCCCTGGCCCCATTTTCCCAGATTTTTAAAAGAACACTGTATATTGCTTAAGTATGCAAAGCTATAATGAGATTTATAAAATTTGTGTTTTCATTAATTAAAAGCCCAAATGTACTGGGATATGCACAGATGTTTAAAGTGTTCTATAGGATGGAACATTCTGCCTTTTGTTTTTGGCAAAACTTCTCTTTTTTAAAGTTACATCTGATTTTATGATAATTTACATCATACACATTTTCTTTCAGTCTATGGTTTATTACCATTATCTCCTGTCACTGTTAACTGGAGAAATAAAATATATTACCTCTATTTTCATATTGAAGTTGGTTTTCCTCAGTAAGAGAAAGAATGGTGTGAGTTGTTTATCAGTATGTTTTTCTTGCTGATCTCTCTTCATTTCAGTATAAAGGTATCAAGTGGTAAAACTAAACATAGTATAATATTAAATAAAATTTCTGTTAAATTGGAATAATTCCATTATGGATTTTTGATTTGATTTCCAAAAATGTACAAATTTGGGTTTCCAAAAATGCACAAATTTGCAAATATTTTCTGTCTACTGATATTTATTATAAAACTTTTGATAAGATTATGACTTTTTTTTTAAATGTGTGTGGGGCTAGTTCTTGAACCCAGGGAGCACTATATGACTGAGCTACTCTTACCAGATAATCTTTTTTTTTCTTCGCCAGTACTAAGGATTGAACCCAGGACCTTCACGCTGAACTACATCTCCAGCCCTTTTTATTTTTTACTTTGGGACAGGGCCTCATTAAGTTTCCCATGTTGGACTCAGACTTGAGATCTTCATGCTTCAGCCTCATGAGTACCTGGGGTTACAGGTGTGCATCTATGTCCAGATCCTAGAGCCGTATTTTGAAAGACTGGCTTCTGAGAGGCTGGGGATGTAGCTCAGTGGTAGAATGCTTGTCTAGAATATACAAAGCTCTGGGTTTGGTCTCCAGCATTGTGAAAAAATAGAATGGCTTGTGGTTTAAAAACAACACATTTAATAGGTATTTACTTAATATGTGTCAGGTGTTAGCACTAAGCATATATAATAAATAAGACAGTATCTTTGCCTGTTCACACTTTTAACATACACTATGATGAATGCACAGAAGTGGGACTTTTAGGATATCATGAGAGCACACAGAAGGAAATCTAATTCTGGACTTGATAAAAAAATATATAAAGGAAAACTTCCTAGAAGACATGATTTATAAAAATTAAGACTTAATGCACAAGGGATTATGCAGGAAAATGGGGAAGAGGGAGAGAACAGTGGGCATGAAAAAGTGTTCCAGGCAAAGGGAACATCTTAAAGACTGAAAAGGAGACAGCATGTCATATTCAGATAACTAACAGTTTGTATGATTAAACTACAGTTAAAACGGTGAGTGTCTGAGGTGGAGATGGGGTTTGATTTTGTGAGAATATTGAGAGATGAGGCTGGGGAGGTGAGCAGAAGCCATATCTTGGAGGGCATTTAAGACCGGGAGAAGTTTGAACTGTCCTGAGCACAATGAAGAGCTATCAGAAAGTTTTAAACAGAAATTTATTATTTTCCTTTTATAAATATTATTCTAGCTGCAGAATGGAGATTGGGTTGGTTCCAAGGGATAAAGAACCAAGGAGAGGGGGCTGTTGCAAAAATTTAAGTAAGAGAGGATAGTAGCTAGTGCACATGGAGCTAAGTTATCTAGGCAGTGGGGAAACAGATGGTGGACTCTAACGATGGACTTGATATGGGTTCTTGGGCTTGAACACTGGGTGGGTTCCATCTAACAAAAGAGAACATGAGAAGCAGGTTTTTAGAGGGTGATAATTTTATTTATTTTTCAGTATTTTGTTTAAAACTTATCTTTCCATTCCAATATTGAATATTATTTAACCCCAGTTTTGTGTGTTTAGCCTACTGGGTCCTCTGAGGACCAAATCTTTAGAGATCAGTTGGTAAGTCTCATATAGAATAGCTGAAAATAAGATATCCTGAGAATATGGAATTATTTTTATTATAGAATATTAATACTTCTCACTTTTTTTTTGTTGTTGTTTTTGTACTGGGAATCCATCTTCCAACTTGGGGCCTCATGCTTGCCAGGCATGTGCTGTGCCGCTCAGCTATATCCCTGGCTCTTTTTTTTTTTTTTTTTGGTACTGGGAATCAAACTCAGGAACTTGTACTTGCAAGGCAGGCATGGTGCCATTGAGCTAAATCCCCAGCCCCTCTCACTTTTTATCTCCTTATCGACTTTTCTTCTTCTGTATTTTTATATATAATATTTTTTATTTCAATACATTATGTTCATTATTTTGATATTCACAATGTTTCACTTTAGGCAGAGGGAGCCTCTTCAAATTAATTTATTGCTTTTGGCTTTTTTGGGGGGCGGGTATTAGGGATCAAACTCAGGACCTTGCACTTGAGAGGCAGGTGCGGGGCCACTGAGCTAAATCCCTGGACCCATTTTTGGCTTTTGGAAATGACCATATTGTTCTTTGATAGCAAGGAAATTTCTTCCTTCCCTTTGTAGTCTTTTTTTTAAAAAAGATAAATTTCTACAGCAGAGTAGGAATCAGGCATTTATCTAATAATGAGCCTTGATTTTTATTGTTGTTGTACCGGGGATTGAACCAAGGTATTCCTTTATTTTTTTGAGATGGTCTGGCTAAGTTGCCCAGGCCAGGCCCTCAAACTTGTGATCCTTCTGCCTCAGCCTGAGTGTTGGGATTATAGGCATGCGCTGTGGCACCTGGCTGAGCCTTGATTCATTTTAACAGGGAATGGCATTTAAAAAGCAGAGTTTAGCTACTGGAAGGTTGTAGGGTGTTTATTGCTTTTGAGTTTGTTATTTAATTGAGGTCTTTAAATGAACAGAGATAGGAAATATGAGTTTATATTAGTTCCAGTTGAAATTGAAGGTTACAGGGTTTATACTGACATCTCTTTTGTGTTGAAAATCTTGGTTCCTAATGACATTAACTTCTTTGTATTATCTATAAAATGTCTAAAATAACTTAAAATAGCACCTTATTAATAACGTTCATCAGTGAGTGCAGGAATTTTAAATCCTTAGTATATATCACAACAGATATGATCAGTCAAAATACTGTCTTAAAGACTCCTGAAATAATTCATTTCTCTGAATATCCCTTCAACATGCTGTACAGTTGTGTTCAATTATTTCAGTGTTTTTGCTTCATTTTTAGGTATTGTTGCCTTTTTTCTTTCATTTTTTTATTTAGGATTTTCATATTCTTTCACAATCCAGTCTATACTGAGTACATTTACAGAATTCTCACTTCCATTCTTGTACTCTTCAGTCTGTTCCCTTATTCCTATATGCAACCATTTTACTAGCTTTTCTATGTCCATAGTTTGTTTTAAAAAGTTCTTTAAAAAAGAAGTAAGTGCATACACATGTACTTGTATTTCCTCTTGACATTTATACAAAAGGTACCATGGTATGACTGTTGTTCTTAACTTTGGTATTTTTTTTTCATAGTCCCTAGATATCACTTCATATAATACATAGGAATGTTCATTTATTTTTATAACTGCATGTTACTGTGTATTGTGGAGGTTCCATGGTTTATTTAACTATTCCCTATATAGTGAGCATCTGGTTTATTTGAAGTCTTTTTCTGCTAAAAAAGTAATGTTGCTAATAACCTTGTACATATTTATTTTGTATTTTTGCTAACTGACCTTTACAGATATCTTTCTAGAAGTGGTCTCACTGGATCAAAGAGTAAATGAATAGGTGATTTTGCTAATACTGTTCTAATACTCTCCATAAAATTTATATTTTGCATTTCTACACCAGCAGGATATGAGTGTCAATTTCCCCTATAACAGCACCAAAAATTACATCAACTTTGAGATTTTTGCCAATCTTTATAGTTTAATTTAGATTGGCATTCAGTTTATCATCCTTATACTTAAAACTTTCCTTTTAGAATTTTTTTCCTTGAAATACATCCTTAAAACACCTTATTTGTGTAGGATTTTTTGTTCTTCCTGAATCTAACGTTCCATATGTTTTTTTTTCTTTTATTGAGTTTATTGGTACATTTTAGGTATACAGTAAAATTACATTCATTATTGGGATCTTGTACCTTTACATGACAGGTCTTGGTTCTCATTTTTTTCCCCTTGTCCGTGCCTTCCCTTCACTCCCTCCTCTCCTCCTCATTTACCAACACTTTATTTCCATTTTTTCATTTTGTCATATTTTTTCCTTTTCCCTTATTACCTTTCCTCTCCCCTTCCCATTTTCCCTACACCTTTAGCCCTTTTCTTCCTATTTCACATGGTCAATTATCTCATTAGGATCTTAATGTACTATTATATCTTTTCACACCAGAGAAACTATTCGGTATTTACACCTGTGTGACTTACTTATTTCACTTAGGAGCATATCCTCAATATGTATCCATTTTCCTATGAATGAATCTAATTTCTCATTCTTTATGGCTGAGTAGTATTCCATTTTATAGAAAAACCACATCTTCTTTATCCAATTTCCAACTGATGGGCAAATGGGCTGTTTCCAAGATTTAGCTATTACAAATTGTGCTGCTATAAACATAGGTGTGCACATATCACTGTGGTATGATTCCTTTAATTCTCCATGTGTTTTAATTCTGAAAGATTTAAAATAGTGTCTGTCTCATATTTCTGTTTTTCTGAAATTCTAACTGTATTTTCTTCTTTCTGCCTTTTAAAGCTAGCATTTCATGTTTACTTCTTTCTTTGCTGCATTCTGGGTAGTTTTTTCCTGATAATTTATTATCCTCTGTTTTCTAGATTCAATCTCTTTTGTTTGTTTTTTTGCTACCAGGGATCGAACTCGGGACATTGTGCTTGCAATGCAGGTGGCAGAACCACTGAGCTAATTCAGTCTCTTTTTAGTTATGTCTGATCACCTTATAAACCTAATAGTACTGAATGTACAGGTTGAATATTCTTTATCTGAAATGAATAACTAGAAATTGACATCAAAGGTGCTTTGCATTTTGGATTTTTTTCAGATTTTGGAATATTTGCATGTACATAATGAGGTATCATGGGATGAGTTCCAAGTCTAAAGTCTAAATATGACATGTGTTTGTTTCATGTATACCTTTACATACAGCCCTAAAGGTAAATTTTTACAATATTTTCAGTATAATTGCACTTTGTGACCTGTTGCATGAGGTCAGGTATGAAATTTTCTATTTGTTGCATTGTGTCAGTGCTCAGAAAGCTCTGCGTGTTGGAGCATTTCAGATTTTTAGATTGGAGGTGCTCAACCTGTACTTAGGATTTCTGGAAGTTTTTTTTTTCTGCTCCCTTTCATTCAAATCTGCTGAATCCTTTAGTGCATTGTGTTAGTCACCTTCATATTACTGTAATGAAATACCTGAAATAATTAAAGATAAAATATTTATTATGGCTCATAGTTTTAGAAATTCCTTTCCAAGCTCTAGTGGATCCACAGCTTTGGGTTTCTGGTGACAGTGCCAAATGGCAATAGGGAGGAGCACATGGCAAAGCAGATTGCTTACCCGATAAGGCAGGAAGTGAAGAGGTAGGGGCTGAAGTCTCTCAGTCCCCTTCAAGGGTGCACTCACAGCAACATGAGGGATTCCCATTAGACCCCTGCCCCCCAGAGGTTCCACCATCTCGCAGTAGTGCCACTCTGGGGACCAAGCCTTTAACATTGGGTCTTTGGGGAACAGTCAACATCTACACTGTGCAGCAGGTATCTTAATTGTCCATATTTTTTGTTTTTGTATTTCTTTAAATGTTTTAATCTATTATTTTGTATTCTTAATGTTAATTCCAGTATCTGAAGACCAAAAGCAATATCTAGTAATGTTTTTGATATTTTCTGCTGTTTGCTCATAATAGCTTATTTCGTCAGTGCTTTGCAGTTTTGGATTGTGTGCTGCTTCAGCGGATGTCATCTGTGGAAATAATGCAGTTTGGGGAAAGGGCACATTTTCTGGAGTATAAATATTATTTATGCTAGATGTCCTATAACTGTACCAACCTAGGATCCCTTTAATTTCTTGGATTTACTTTCTCAGACCATTGATACAATGTAAATTTGAAATTAAAACCTCTCTGAGGATATGCCTGACTCAGAAATATGAATTCTTCTTTTGTTTCTTTGTTAGCTGTTGTTTTTTTTTGAAGATCATTATTTCATCCAGGGTGTAATTTTCAAAGGCTTTGCTCTACATTATGTTCTCAAGACATTGCTACTCAGAATGGTCTGGAGGCGTTTATCCCCTGTCCCTTTCTAGTAGCTAAAAATCAAACCTCTAGGTTTCTAATTCTGGTGACTACCTCCAGAACTGATGCAGCTTCCTCCTTAGTGTATCTCTCTGGGTTTCAAGTTTCCTTTTCTTTTGGCCCCAGGAAATTTGCCTAATTTTTATGAACTAGGCTATAGTATAAATGAATAATTGTTTTGTTTTATATCAGATGCTTTTTTCTTGTAACACCTGATCACGCACATGGCCCTGGGTTAATCCCCAGTGCTGGAAAAAAAAAAGAATGTTATATGTTTGTTACATTTTGTGGATATCATTTAGAGTTATGGAGAATTATAGAAAGAAACATTTAAAAAAGCATTTTTTCTGGCCTGGGGATTTAGCTTAGTGGTTCTACCACCTGCCTCGCAAGCACAAGGTCCCAAGTTCGATCCCCAGTACCAAAAGAAAAGCATTTTTCTTTGTTCTTGTCAAAGTAATTGTACAATTTTGCAGGGCGGGTGTGGTGCCACTGAGCTAAATCCCTGGCCAAGTTTTCTTTTAGGTGGTGAAAATGTTATAAAATTAGATTGTGGTGATTGTTACATACATCTATAAATATACTAATAACTAGTGTTTTGAATATATTACTAGTGACCTGAATGAACTCTGGCATTTAAATTTTAGATGTCATTAGTGTAGTTTCAAAAGAAAAAAAAAAAACCCAAGAAAATCAGTTGACAGGTTTGCCTTTTTCTCTATATATTCATCTCTTGACTAGATTGCTGGTTAGAAGACAGATGTATCTCCTATGGTGATTCCTGCTATGTTAGAGAATAGCACATTTCATTGTAACTGACGTTTATTTTGGTACAATGTCTGATAATCTAAGCCATGGCTTCTTTAGGTACCAAGTCACCCAATACCAGCTGTGTGATTCTTGATCATGCTATCTTACCTTGCAGATTGTTCATTTGTTTACAAAATTAGGATAAATTTTGCTTACCTCAGGACTGCTATAAAGTTCAACTAAAAATGAAATAGCACTTTGAAAGTTATATAGTCTTAAGTAAATATACAGTAATATGAAGATTCTGAAAGTTCTCTGCATTTTCTTTTCACAGGAGTAAAGCATAAATCCTTCCTAACTGCTGAGGACTGCTTTGAATTGGGCAAAGTGGCCTACACAGAGGCAGACTATTACCACACTGAACTGTGGATGGGACAAGCCCTCAGGCAGCTGGATGAGGGCGAGGTGGCCACTGTGGACAAGGTCTCTGTTCTAGATTATCTGAGCTATGCTGTATACCAGCAGGGAGACCTGGACAAGGCTCTTCTGCTTACAAGGAAGCTTCTTGAACTAGGTATGTTATCTGGCCTTAATTTAAGGTTATAATTATATTGGGGATATATATCATCTATATATTTTATCTGTCCATTGATCCATCCATGTACTGTCAGTACTTTTTGTTAGCAATTAAGAGGCTTATCAGGGCTGAGGATTTAGCTCAGTGGTTTGGTGGCCTGCCTTGCAAGTGCAAGGACCCGAGTTCAATCCCCAGTACCAAAAAAAAAAAAAAAAAAAAAAGAGGCTTATCAGTCAGACACTTCTCACTGCTTTTTCTCAAAGTAAATGGCAACTGATTTTTTCCCCCATGATTAGTACTGGCATTATGGCTATGATCCTCCACTCTGTATTCTGGAAATTCAAGATTGAATCTAACCTATCTCTGGAAATTCAAGATTGAATCTAACCTATCTCAGTCAAAAATGTTTCCATATTACATGTTAAACCTCTTCTGAAGAGAGTTATTGGTGTATTATATTTTATATTCAAATGTTAGCAAAACATGTCTTGTGATAATTTTGAACAGAGATATAGGCATCACATACATCAGAATTACTTGAATACTTGTTAGTAGAAATCAAGGAATTTTCACTTCTAAGTCATAATCTTTGGAGATGGTGACAAGAATTTATATAGTAATAAGTTCAAGCGGCCTTTGCTATATAATGAAACCTTAAAACAAATTATTTTATGAATAGAAAAATATGTATTATGTCAGAAAAATTCAACTCAGGAAGATTGATCATCTGAGGACAGTGGATTTAGTTTAGTGGTTCTGCCACCGGCCTTGCAAGCTCAAGGTCCCAAGTTCGATCCCCAGTACCAAAAAAAAAAGATCATCTGAAAGTGAACTTTTGATAGTTGTTTTATTTTCTAGTTGGGTGAATTGATAAATTAAAAGATATTAGTTCAAATAACTTTTTTTCTTTTATTTTTACTGAAGTTTCCTCCTGATTTAGAACATACTTTATACTCATCATAGGAAATTTATTAAAACAGAAAAAGATATAATCCATCCATAAGCCAGTTACCCAAACACAGAAAATTTTGTTTTATTGTAGGATACATTCCCCTTCCCTGCAGTTTTTCCTTTTACAAAATTAAGTTTTTATTGTATATCACAATATATATTGTGAACAGTCTCTGAAGGACAAATATTTTATAATCTAGAGTTACATTTCTCAAACACTTCAATTAATGACACAAGTGAAGTCTTGACTATTGTTTCTGCCTTTTAAATTTTTATCACTGTGGTTGTTTGGATTTTTCTTTTTTTTTTTTCCAGCTGGATGGTATAGCTAAAAATCATCAGTAGTAATTTTGAGTCAGTCAGTAGATTCTGACTTATTTGAAAATTACATCTTTAGTTTCTTCTTTCTTACTTAGAAAGTTGGGGCTGAAATCCACTAACATGTGTTCTGCATTTATAATGTTATCTGTGATTAAGGTTGCTTTTGAAGTATGTATGCTTTTACAGTAGTGATTATTTTTCAGTCTTAGAAAAATTTTTACCGTTGCATCAAATTAAGTAGGATAAGTTAGATTTTACATAAAATTGAACATAGTTCCTCTGGATGATTAGCAAGTTCTCAAAGTAGAAACAGTAATTGTAACCTTGAAATAAAAGGCTGTTCCATCTCTAGAACTGTTTTTACATAGGATGACCATATGTTCTGACTCACTTGAGATAGTACCAGTTTATATCCATTTTTGGTATTATAATTGGTCTTAGTTGCTCTTTTTACTCTTCAAAAGCATCCTGGTTTGGAAGACAAATCATATGTTCCCCTCTATTTATATTCAGAGGATTTAACAATTGCAAACTTACTCATGGATATACTTTCTCTTCAAATAGATCCTGAACATCAGAGAGCTAATGGTAACTTAAAATATTTTGAGTATATAATGACTAAAGAAAAAGATACCAATAAGTCTGCTTCAGATGACCAGTCTGATCAGAAAAGCACACTGAGGAAAAAAGGGATTTCTATGGATTACCTGCCAGAGAGACAGAAGTATGAAATGCTGTGCCGTGGGGAGGGTATCAAAATGGTAAAGTAGAAAAGTCAATTGTGTGTGTGCATAAGTGTGTATGTATGTGTTTTGTGCATAGTTGTAGAGAGAATCAGATTTATATTTAAGCCTATGGGGTAAAAATTATGATTGCATTAAATATTACAGTATGCCATATTAGCTTGCTGTCACACTCATTATGCTGCAGCTAATAAAAGTTTTAATATAAAGTTTTTTAATCATATACAGTATGCATTTGTAATGTTAACCCTGTTCACAGATAAAAAGAGGCTTATTTTATAGGGTGAAGGATAAGTTTAATGAAATGGTAATTATTTTTTAATGCAAAAGAGATTTTAGTAGTCTAAGTAGAAATAATATTCTATTGGTAACTGATTTTATGAAATACAAGACTCATCTATACAGTAATCTCTCGTGATCTTGCTCCTTTTCAGTCTTAAAGAGATTCCTTAGTTTTATTTAAGAAATACTCAGAATGTAGGTGTTCATCAGATTTTAACTTTAACATTTATTCTTAAAAAGACCTAAATATGTCTGCAAATATCCCTTTATTGTATATTTCATATTTAAATAATTCAAGATGCAACCCGTTTAGAATATCAATACATCTTAAATCCAAACTCAAAATGTTCCAAGTCTAAGAAACATTTGTTAAACTAAGTTGAACACAGGTTTTGGTTTAGCTTTGGGACTTTTCAGAGTCTTTTCATGATATGATATGTGCATTATTATAAATATATATGTACCCAGAATTGACCATGGAACCACCTTTGCTTTTGTTTTTGCAGTACTGAGGATCAAATCCAAGGCCTTTTACATACTAGGCAAATGCTCAACTACTGAGCTACATCTCCAGCCCATGAAACCTTTTTTCAAGGACTATCATGTGATACTAGTGTTCAAACAAACTTTTCTTCACTACTAGCAAACTCAAGCTGACCTTTATAGTTAGTGATGACTGTTGACTGCCTGACTGCTAACGGCAAACATATCTTTGTTGACACTTTAATTTATTTATTTATATATTTTTTATTTTTGTTGACACTTTTGATAGCTGGGTTCATGGACTGTTAGCAGGACATACTTGCTATTGTTTTGCAAACTAATGAGTAAATTCAAGGATAATAATACTTTGTTAAACTTGTTAAACTTTCTTTTTCATTTCTAAATATTTTAGCATGTGCCAGTCAGATTTGTGTCAGTGTGACAAAATAGCTGACATAAACAGCTTAAAAAGAGGAAAGATTGTTAAAAAAATAAAAAACAAAAGATTTGTTTTGACTCACTTTCAGGGGTCTCAGTGCGTGGTGGTTTCACCTCCACTGCCTTGGGTTTGTGGTGAGGCAAAACATCATGGCCAGGATGGGGAGCAGCAGGTAGGGTGTAGAGCTGTGTACTCCGTGAGAAACACAAGGGCAGAGACCCCAGTATCCCCTTCAAGGGGTAGCCCCCATGGCCTTCTATGAGGCTCACCTTCTGAAGGTTCCATTACCTCTCAATTACACCGCAGGCTGGTGACTAAGCCTGTAACACACAGCCTTGTGGGGGGGGCATTCTAAATCTAAATTAGATATATGTCTTTTTTTTTTTTTTTTGGTACTGAGGATTGAATTTGGGATCTTGCACTTGTGAGGCAGGCAGAGGCACCACTAAGCAAACCCCGGCCCTAGATGTATGTCTTTTAAAGATAAGGACTCAAGCTTTACATGGTGGCACATTCCTATAATCCCAGTACTAGGGAGGCTGAGGCAGGAGGAATGCCTCAAGTTCAAGGCCAACCTGGGCTACATAGTGAGTTTAAGGCCAATCTGAACTACAAAGTAAGACCTTGTCTCACCCCCCACCCCAAAGGTAAGGACTCACAATAACTGAAAGGCCATTATCACACCTAAAAAAATTCACAGTTGGGTTGGGATTTAGCTCTGGTGGTGCCACCTCCTTACAAGCACAAGGTCCTGAGTTCAAGCCTCATTCCCCCCCCCGCCAATTCACAGTACATATTTTCTTAGATTTACATCTGGCTATTGGTACATTTTAGATATACACAATGATAACATTCACCATAGGGAATTTGTACCACTACATGATATATCTTGATTCTTTTTTTTCCCCATTCTCCCCTCCCTTATGTACACATAATTTTTTTTTTTCGGTACCAGGGATCAAACTCAGGAACTTGCACTTGCAAAGCAGGCGCAGTCCCACTGTACACATAATATTAATACTAGTTTCTGTTCAAATTTCCATCAGTAAACAGATTCTTAAAAATTACCTTTAGCTGGGTTTGGTGGCACACGCCTGTGATGGGAGGCTGAGGCAGGAGGATTGCTGTGAGTTCAAGGCCAGCCTGGGCTACATAGTGAGTTCCAGGTCAGACTCAACTACATAGTGTGACCCTGTCTCAAAAAACAAAAAACAAAAAACAAACAAAAAAAAATTCCCTTAGTAAGTCTTAAGAAAATAGAACCATAAGTACAATACAGGATCCTGCTGGTTTACCAGTTTGTTGTGACGCGTCAACTCTGCCCATAATCAAAAGAACATCCTTCTGTTTAAATGGTTCAATCCATTTTATCATTGTATGAAAGACTTGTTTGATATAAAGCCTTGGGTTTGATTCTAGACAAAGTGCATGTATGGAGAATAAATGTGAATTAATGTATTGTTTTACTGTATTACTTAATAATTAAGCAATTATATTCCTGCTTTGTATATGACATACTTATTTAATCAAGGGAAGAATACCAGGGTTCCAGTGGTAGAGTTCTCAGTGAGCACGTGTCAGGCTCTGGGTTTGATTCCTGGAGGGAGGGATATGGCAGAGAGAAGAATCAGCTATGAACTAATATATTTGATTTATATAACAGATGATTGAAAGGAACACTTATTTTTTTTGTTGACTGCTCTACAGTATTTTTATTCCTCCTCTTAAAAGCACTTGGCTTCTTTAGTAACTTCACACTTTTGGAACTACCCATTTTCACCTTTGCTGTAATTTTTTTTTTTGTGCCACAAGCATTTAACTGTAAGGTATATTAGGGAAACCTGGTTTTGGTGTTTTGGTTTTTTCCCCTTCTAGAAATGTTCACTTTTCTGGGTGCTTCCCAGTTACTTTTTGAAGTTTGGAACAGTGTGAGGCATTCATTTCATATTTCCATAAACACTTGTTTCTTTCCTATTTCCTGATGATTGAAGGGTTAAAAGAGAAATCTCACTTTTTTCTCCTTTTTCCCATCTCTCCCCCAAAAAATAATTATGAAAAATTTAAAATCCTGGAAACTCTATTTGATACTAAATATTAGCAGAGTACTGCTTATTTATTCTTCCAAAGATATACTGTGTATCTGCAAACATGGTTATTGTTTTGTGTCTGCAAGGAATAGGTGTTAAAAATATTATAACTCTTAGCCAGGTATGGTGGTGTATACCTGTAATCCCTCAACTCTGGGAGGCTGAGGCTGGAAGATCCTAAATTTGAGCCCAGCCTAGGCAACCCAGCAAGCTATCTCAAAATTTAAAACAAGGGCTGGAGCTGTACCAAAGGATGAAGGCCCACTGGGTTAGTCCCCTGTACTGCAAACACACACACATATGTACATATATGTGTGTACATGTGTATATACGATATGTGTGCATATATATGTATGTGTATATATAATTAATATATTTATAATTATGTTTAGACTCCTCGAAGACAAAAAAAACTGTTTTGCCGCTACCACGATGGAAACCGGAATCCTAAATTTATTCTGGCTCCAGCCAAACAGGAGGATGAGTGGGACAAGCCTCGTATTATTCGCTTCCATGATATTATTTCTGATGCAGAAATTGAAATTGTCAAAGACCTAGCAAAACCAAGGGTGAGTTTTTTTTCCTCCTCAACTTACTGTACCTTTGTATCAGTTTTTCGTAAGATAATGGAGGATAATTGATATGGCATTAACTTCACAGATAGTTTTAGATACTGTTGCTGCAACATAATGGATTTGTTATTATATTCTATGTATGTCAGTTTTTCTTTGTTGTTGCCACAAGTAACATACAAGTGGGCATTAAACACTGAATTATGAAAATCATAGATGAGATTTTTATTTACCCTTCACAAAACTTTTTCACTGTCTTACTGAATAACTTTTCTATATATTTTGTCACCTTAATCTCAGAGACTACCCTAAGCTCAGCTTTTTCTTTTTTTGTGGTACTGGAGATTGAAGACGGCCTCTTAACACGTTAGGCAAGCACTATCCTTGGGCTACATCTCTAGCTCAACTTCATATCTTCTATATTTTTATCTGAAAAATATTTGAAGTATTTTTATTCCTTCTTAGGCACATTAATACTGTAGTAGAAAAATATACGTGGGGGCAAGCATCATGCTAATCTTTAAATGGCAACACCATAGTTTTCTGACTTCAACTTAGGTCATTTATTTTACTAAGAAAAAATAGTCTACTGTGGGTTAAACCCAAACCTATAAACTCAGTGTTCAGCACATTCTTCTTTTGTGAGAAAATGTGGGAAAGACAACCCTTTATGATCTTGCCTTTTCTCCCATGGTCTTGCTTTTAATAGGTCATCTTATTGATAATAAAATACAAACCACTGTCACTTCCATAAAGAGACTTAAATCAGTGCTAAGCTTAGTTTTGTTCTCATTATTTAGGGGTTGATTATTTTTTTTCCTGTAAGTGTCAAGATAGTAACTATTTTTTAGGCTTTGCAGACCATATGGTCCCAGTCACAACTACTCAGCTCTGTCACTGTGATATAAAAGCAGCTAAAGAAAATATGAAAATGAATGAGGATTGCTATATTCCAATACAACTTTATTTCTGAAATCAGGAGGCAGCTGAATTTGGATTTGTTGACTTTTGTTGTAATATAAATACTTTAATTATCTAGGTATTTGTACTGCAAATAGCCAGATGTTTAAAAAGTTTTACTGCTTTTCCTTATCGATACTCTGTTTATCAAAGAAAGATTATAAATGCAAAAGTCTGGTCTAATACATGTGGATGCTGTTTAAGGGAATTCTAATAAACCTACTACCAAGCATACTACTACTTATATTCTGTTATTCTTGTTTGAATTTTTATCCTTTATTTGTGGTTAATAAAACCCAGTTTACCAAAATGTCTTGGTAGAATACAGTAAGTCCCCAACTTACAAATGAGTTCCATTCCAGCAGAATGTTTGTTAAGTCAGATTATTTCCTTCAATCCAACAAAGTGAGTCTATACAATATACCTGTGAAAGTTCGCAACTCGATGTTTATAAGCAGGAATCTTACTGTATTCATTCTGAATTAGTGTCTGGGTTTGACGACTTAAATCTTCAAAGGAGATTCCTCAGTTTAGATTATTTTGTGATTAGTAAATTAAGTGGCCTTAAAATTTCATACTCTTTGGTTAACCTCAGAAGTTTAAAAAATGTAGGCTGGGAATTTAGCTCAGGGGTTCTGCCGGCTGCCTCGGAAGTGCAAGGACCCGAGTTTGATCCCCGGTACCAAAAAAAAAAAAAAAAAAAAA